GTCCTTGGGCCGAATGATGACGATCCGTCGAGATCTCCTTGAGCGGGAGCCGATCGTCCGGGAGCGAGAGCTGAAGGACCTGCGCGACCTACGAGACCTCCTGGAGCGAGAGCTGAAGACCCTTCTGCTGCGAGAACTCAAAGATCTCCTGCTGCGGGAAGAGATTGACCTCCTGGACTCTAAGCTGGACTCCGAGTCAGTGATCTCCAGAAAGGACTTCTGGCTCTCGGACCGTCGGTGCTGGAGCAATCCCACGACCTCGGTCTCTTCCAGGAGGCTCGGACACATCCCAGCCTTGCAGTAGCGCCCGGTCGCGTGGATGAGCATGGAGCGGTGACCCGAGCAAACCTGCATGCACGTGCTCCAGTCCTGAATGAGCATCGCCGTGCAGATCAGGTTGCACAGCAGCGGGCCGTTGCAGATGTTGGGCTTGTTTGGGGGATAGCTGGGGTCACGGTCCCCGTAGCTACGAGCCACCTCCCGCCTGTCTTCGGGATCCGAGGCGCACACGTCCTGGATGCAGTGCTGCAGCGTCCGCTGCTCCGGCGTGGTCTGCTCCGAGTTCTGCGGGTAGGTGACGCCCTCCAGCCAGACGGCCTCCTCCCGGCAGATGTCGGCCCCGTCCAGGTAGGAGAAGTTGAAGCCGTTCAGGTCCCGGGCCTCCAGGCACGTCATCTCCACGGACTCGCCAGGCCTCAGTCATCAGCACAAGAAAAAATGGTCGAGGCTGACTACTGTACATCGGTGCTGAGCTGCTGAAGGGGGAGGAGACTCGGAGAGGGCTTCAAAAACGGCTGCGACATGCTGCGATGCGACGAAGGCGCGCGTTGTTGTCGGGCTTCTCGCAGACGCAGTGCGTGTCCCTGAGGCGGGTGTCGCAAGTCTTCGGCTCCCCTGTGTCCGAGTCGAAGTTGGCCGGGTCAGAGGCGTTGGTGAGGTTGCAAGCGAAGGCCTCGTTGGGGAACCTCCCGCGTCAGTTCGGGACTACTGGAGAAGAGTCCACAGAATTTCTCCCAATCTCTCAAGCGCAACTCACCAGCCTAGGCAATTCTATCAAGATTCCTCAACTCCGCAAGGATGGTACACAACGATGGTGCGTTCCGATTCTAGTCACGATGGCACCCTACACCCCTAACAACCCTCAAAAAACGTGCGGTCATTTTGGGGAGCCTTCCCGTACCAGGGTCGTCCCGCACCCCCACGCATCGGGCGCCGCGGTCCTGGAAAGTTACGGCGCGCAGGGACGCTAAAGGTTTTACCATGTATCGTCTATAGGGGGATTAGGGTTTAGGGACATCCTTGCTCAGCACTTTGCAAGGTCCGTGTTCAACTCAGTCTTCGCCTCTTGCTCCCTTCTCCCATCTCCCTCACGCACGGGCATGTGGGTGGGGACGGGGGGGGGATCTGGCAGGTCTACCCGGCAATCGTTCCTAAACCTGTGGCCTTTCTTTCATGGCTATACGGCAGGAAGGGGTTCCGCTTCGGGACCTCTGTTGTATGTCAAAGGCTTTGGGTCGGTTTGGGATGTTGAGCTGGTCCTGGTCCACACCTGCAGCCTGAGGCCCCCTACGAACCTTAAACAGCACGGTCCTGGCACCAGTCTCGGCAAGTCCTGCGCGGGAACTTCGGCGTGTTCAAGTTCACGAAAGCGACCTGATGCCGAGGCGACTTCCGGACTTGGACTTGATTCATTTGAGATTCATAGGGGCGCTTAGTAGGGTTGAAGGGTGCCGGCTGTCAGGGGCATCTCGAAAACAAAGGCATGGTGATCTCTCTTTCACGTGCTTGTATCACCCAGCTGCTTCTTTTAGGCCCAGAGTCCCCTTCATTGGGGAATTTGAGCCCTTGCCACCCCCTCTCCCCGACAATCATTAGAAACGGCTCCGGACCGCTCTCGCTCTCGCTCTCAACTGAAGCTCTGAACTTCCCATTCCGCGAGCCGACGTAACGACCTATATGAATAGGCAATATTAGGCAATGATGAGACGCACCTTTGCAGCTAGTGGGAGCACGGCAAGATTTCGCGCATCCGTGGCACACACCCGATGGCCACAAGCTCAGAAGAAAAACAGTAATTAATAAGACAACCGAAAAAGCGGCTCAGATGCCCCCTGGGCTAGGGACGCAGTTCTCCCCACCGTCCATCAACTCCTTGATGCGGTTGTTATTCTCGATGACCGCCGGGTCGTTGCTGGTCTCGTCCCTGAGTGGTGGACCGAGACGCTCTACTAAGGTTAACAGGGTTTGAGGACCGGGTGGTGTAGGGTTTTCAGGGGTTTGGGGGTTTGGGGGCTTGGGCTTCAGCCTAGGGTTTCGATCGGGATTTGGGGCTTATCAGCGCATTGAAGAACAAGGCGACCGAACCGCGGCTTCCTGGGTCTTTAACATTCTAGCGCTGGTAGTGGTAAGCGCCTCCCCGCTGCATTGTTCCTGGTGTCCACCTGGCATCCGCACTGTTGACTACCCAAGAGGCAGGCCCTGACTGGTGGCCCGGTGATCATGAATCATTGGGTGTCTGGTTTAGGGTTAAATACCTGAACCCTTGCACCACAAGACAAGGGGCGGGATGCACTCCTTGTCGCTGGGGTGTCCGAACGGCCTGCACGCTGAACCCGTCAAAGGCAAAGCAAGCCCCCGAACCTCACGAACTCTGATCGACCCTACACATCCTACACCTTGAACAAAACCTACCCAACCCTGCCCCCCCCACACCCCCCTCCCCTAGAGAGGAATGACAGGCTAGGGGATTGAGTCGGATGGTGTTTTTAAGGCCCGCCACGGGCCTCATGAACTCGCAGCCCGGCTGGGTGACGTCACCACTGCCGGACGCAGGGCACCCAGGCGGAGTGAGGGCGACGCCTTGGCATCTCAGGGTTTTGGAGGGTTTTGGGGCCCACGGGGGGTTTTTTTTGGGGGGGGAGGAGGGGGAGAAAGGCACAGTCACTGGCCCGTCCTGGCTACCCAAACTGTGCATATACACTGCGCACTCCACGGGAGATGCGAGCCGACGTCTACATCGCTGGGGTGTCGAGGGGCCATCTTCCTGGCAGAACTCGCAGAGGTCCTGCCAGAGGTTCGGCGCATCCGGCCTTGGTGCTTTGGGGCGGCATCGACGGGGTTGGCCGGACGCGGGGGCTTAGGGGGCTATACAGCAGCGGCCATAGCGGGTAGGCTTGGGGACCGCCGAGCCGCGTCGTGAAGAGGTTCTCGTCGCTCTCCGGGTCGATCCACTGCGTCGAGAGCTTCCTTACATCGGGCCCCAAAAGGCGTGCGATGCATGGTACGTGCACACGCGCACGACTGCGTGAAGTTGAAGGGGGGGGGGGGGGGGCATGTGCGGCGTATGCATGCAAATCATGCGCCCGTGCACGCCCGAGGGGCTGCGCTCCGCAGATGCCCTCCTTGCCCCCGCTCGTCATGGTGGCACAGCCCCAGGCCTTGATGACGATGTTGTTGTAGTAGGCGTCGGGGGTGAGCGCCAGGTTCCTCGCACTGCCGTAGAGAGGCTGGGTGTTGATCTTGATGCGGACGCAGCTGTCATCGCTCACGAGGATGACGCCGGCCGCTGGGTCCGTGTCGTTCGATTTCAGGATCTTCAAGGTGGCGCTCTCGACGTTGGGGCTGCCCACCACGTACTCCTCCCCGATCCTCTTGACGATGTACTTGTCGCCGCCGTTCATGGTGATGGCGTAGGCGATGGCTGAGCTCAGCCGGGTGAAGAAGTACTGGCAGAAGAAGGCCTGGACCTCCACCGGGCCACCACAGGTGTCCGTCCTGGCCAGGCGCCAGATGCCCTGAGGCTGGAAGTCGAAGCCATCTTCGTATCCCTTACGCCAGCTGCTCTCCACATGCGGGTCGCCCGTGATGGTGCAGTCGTCGAAGCAGGTGGACGTCCAGTCGTCGACGTTGGCGCACTGGTCGCAGTCGCATTGCCTGGGGCATGTCAAGGTAGGGAAATGGGCAGGTGTGGAGGGGGGGGGGGAGGTGATCCGGGAGGATCTGGGATAGCGACCCTCTGCCACGAATCCACTTTCGATTCCGAGCCCGAGCGGCTGTCCCAGAGCCGCGAAGGTCCAGGCGCCCACCCCCCCCCCCCCTCCCGACGAAATTCTAGCTTGGTGCTTTGATCGCTTTCTCTCTTTGCTCTCTGCATCCTGGCTGCTGGCCCTGGGCTGCGATGGCCCAAGTGCCCAGGAGGACGAGGCCAAGCGCCTTGGCCGCCATGGCGCGGCACTGCGCGGCAGAGACGGGGACCCAGCTGTCTCGCCTATACAAGTGTCCGTGGCGCGCGAGCCAGCTCTGTCGGACTCTCGTTTAACGACGCTTGCAGCAGGGTTGTCAAGTTCAGCGACATTCCTGGACATTCCTCGACAGTGTGCACGGGCCTATGCAGCCAGTGCTGACCACGCTGATCATGCTGGCCTTTCTAACGACCGTAACAGCACCGTAACAGTTATGCATACTGGATGGTGCCGGCCACATCCTAGCCGTCAAGGTGCTGACACTGTTCGCTGAAACTTACATAAGTTATATGGCTTGTGAACACTGATTTGCACAGCGCCGTGCTCTCTTGATCCTCTTTGCAACTGCCCAGCTCCAGACCATGCAGGAGGAGAGCCATTAAATGCGCCCTTGGGACATCTTCGACGCCCATCCAGGCAAAACAAAACCGGGTGGCACGCAGCATGTTACAAGCACTCGGCTGATACATGCCATGGCCTTTGGGGAAGCCTGCCAACGCAAGAGGCGATGTTACATGCGATGATGGCAACACTGGATGACACGTAATGTCCATGCACTACCATGACCACCTGTCTCGCACAACTTGCAGGCGTGATGCTGGCTCACATGCATGGGCAGGCATAACGAAAATTAAACTAGCCCTCTGCTAATTGTCAAATCGTGGCTTCAGTGGCCACATGAGCAAGCTCGCAGCCGAGAACGGCTTTCGCGGCTTTGGGCTGCGCGAGGGCATGGCGCCACGGCCCTCGATGCTTCCCTCAGTCGTCCCCGTCCTTGCGGCGCCTCCGACTTCCATCATACCCGTCATCCTTGCGCCTCCTTCCATCATACCCGTCGTCATCCTTGCGGCGCCTCCGACTGCCATCATAACCGTCATCCTTGCGCCTCCTTCCATCATACCCGTCGTCATCCTTGCGGCGCCTGCTTCCATCATACCCGTCGTCATCCTTGCGGCGCCTCCGACTGCCATCATACCCGTCATCCTTGCGCCTCCTTCCATCATACCCGTCGTCATCCTTGCGGCGCCTGCTTCCATCATACCCGTCGTCATCCTTGCGGCGCCTCCGGCTGCCATCATACCTGTCGTCATCCTTGCGGCGCCTGCTTCCATCATACCCGTCGTCATCCTTGCGGCGCCTCCGGCTGCCATCATACCCGTCGTCATCCTTGCGGCGCCTCCGGCTGCCATCATACCCGTCGTCATCCTTGCGGCGCCTCCGGCTACCATCATCAACGTCGTCATCCTTGCCGTCGTCATCCTTGCGGCGCCTCCGACTGCCATCATCCCCGTCATCCTTGCGACGTCTCCTGCTGCCATCATCCACGTCATCATCCTTGACATCGTCATCGTCACGGGGGGTGGTGGTGTCAGGCGGGGTGGTGGTGAAGTAAGCCTTGGTGGTAGTGGAGAAAGGGCACTCCGTAATCTCGGTGGTGGTGGTGGTCGTGGTGGTGGTCGTGGCCGGGGGGTCTTCGCAGAAGTGCTTGCACTCCTTGCAGTAGTGGTCTAATCCCGGCTTCAGCTGGCTGCCAAACTTCGCAGTACACCTGTGCTTGCACCACTTGAGCTCATCTCCTTCCAACTTCAAGCTGTAGCAGAGCTTGCTGCACATGGACTCTTTTTCCAAGCACTCATCTTCCGGCGGAGAATCATCGTCATCAGCACCGTCATCGTCATCACCATTATCACCACCGTCGTCGTCATCCTTGATGCCATCATCGGAGTCATCGTCCTTTCCGTCGTCATCCTTGCGGCGCCTCCTGCTGCCATCTGAGTCATCGTCCTTTCCGTCGTCGTCATACTTGCGGCGCCTCCGGCTACCGTCATCCGAGTCATCATCCTTGCCATCGTCATCCTTGCGGCGCCTCCGACTGCCATCATACCCGTCGTCATCCTTGCGGCGACGGCTGCCATCGTCCGAGTCGTCCTTGCCGTCCTTGTCGTCGTCCTTGTAGAGGCGCCTCCTGCGGCGCCTCCTGCGCCTCCTGCGGCCGCCGGAGTACCTGCGGGAGCTGGTGACAAGGGTGCTGTGGGAGTGGTTGGATCGGCGCTGCAGGAGGCCCACAATCTCCACCTCCTCCAGAAGTGTGGGGCAGAGCCCTTTCTTGCAATAGCGCGAGACCACGGGGAGCAACATGGAGCGATGGCCTTCGCAGCGGTTGACGCAGTCACCCCAATCCTGGATGAGCTGGGTGGAGCAGATGACGTTGCACAGCAAGGGGCCGTTGCAGATGACGGGCTTGTTGTTGAGGTTAGGGTCCCGATCCCCATAGCTGCGGGCCACCTCCGCTCTGTCTTCTGGGTCTGTAGCGCACACGTCCTGGACGCAGTACAGCAGCAGCCGCTGTTCGTGTGTGGCCTGTGCGCTGTTCTGTGGGTAGATCACGCGCTGCAGCCACATCGCCTCTCTTCGGCAGAGGTCCGCGGAGTCCAGGTACGAGAAGGGGAATCCGGCGGCGTCTCGGGCTTCCGCGCACGTCCTTTCCACGGGCTCACCCGGCCTAAGAGACAGGGGCACTCTTCTTCAGCTCACGAGGACCTAAAGAAGTGCTATAAGGCTATAAGTATACCCAGTGCAAGATGTCATGAGGCACTCTACCGGCCCTGCAAGTACCGGCTACCGCCATTGACATGATCCCAAGGCGCGCCGGGTTGTCGGGCTTCTTGCAGACGCAGTGGGTGTCTCTGCTGACGGTGTCACAGGTCTTGGGCGTGTTTGTACCCGAAACGAAGTTTTTCGGATGGTCGGCATCCGTGAGGTAGCATGTGTTCTCACTGCTGGGGAACCTCCCTCCTCCGACATCGTCCCGGACAGCCACGCACTCAGCGCCGCGGTCCTGGCCGTGGCTGCATGATGGCAAGATAACCAGAACATACCACGACGCCCTATAGACCATAGTATACATATAAATATTATATATATACCATGCCGAACATTGAATAAACGCAAGGGCCACCACGGCTGTCCTGGCACCAGTCTCTGCAACTCCTGCCAGGAAACTTCGGGCCATTGTTCAGAAGAGCAAAAGCCACCTGAGCTGAAAAGGCGGCAAGGCGGCAGCAATCTCTCGGTCTGTGTAATCATGTGATATCATGTGTTATCGGACTCTACAGGAGCCTGGACCCAACTTCCTGCAGAGGGCGAAGCATGCGTGATATATCTCCGGCAAGATGCGCAGTTCTCGCGGCCCTCACCCTGAAGCTCGCGGATACGGGCGTTGTTGGCCTCGATCTTCGGGTCACCGGTTGGGTTCGGCTGTATAGCGCACTCCCTGTCCCGCTTGCTGCCGTACGGCCTGGAGGATACAAAATTGGGCAGACGTGCGGCCACGTGCGTCGTGAGCATGACAGCATCATGGCGATTCTGCACGATTACACTAAGTCACTAAGCTTGATTGGGCTTGCGAGCGCTTTCGCGGTCTCTTTGGCCCGCAGATGCTTCCAGGGACTTGGGCCTCAGGAACTCGCAGCCAGGCTCGTTGCCACCGCCCGGCGCGCCCTGTGGCGCTGGGCAGCCCGGGGGCGTGATGGCTTCACCTCAAGGGCAATGCTCAAAACGCTAGTCTGAGATGGGGCCATGATAGTGGGCGACGATGGTGGGCCATGGCCTTTCTCCTGACAGAACTCGCAGAGATCCTTCCACAGCCCAGGCTCTTCGGGTGTCTTGAAGAGGTTCTCATCGCTCTCGGGATCGATCCACTCCTTTGACAGCTTCCTTGGCGAAGCGAAGAGCCGAAGAGCCGAAGAGCCGAAGAGCGGATAGACAGAGACCCTACATCACAATATGGATATCACATATATATATATATATATATATATATATAGATATATATATAGATATATACATGCATACATGTGTATGTATGTATATGTATATATGTATGGTCGCCCGAGGTTCGGAGCACCACAGATGCCTCCGCCTTCCTCCTTCTTTGTGGCGCAGCCCCAGACGTGCATGAAGATGTTGTTGAGGTAAGGGTCCTCAAGGAATCGTGTCCTCGAGCCACCGTAGAGGTTCACGGTGTTCATCTTGATGCGCACGCACTTGTCGTTGCTGACCAGGAGCTTCCCAGCCACAGGGTCTTTGGTCACGTCGAAGCTGTAGTTCATGGTCTGCACATTTGGGCTGCCCACCTGGAACTCTTCCCCGACCTTCTTGATGATGTATTTGTCGCCGCCGTTGATGCTGATGGCGTACGCAATGGCGCTGCCTGAAAGGTGTAGCTTCCAAGAGCTTCTTGTTGTGATGGCTTGGATGGGGCCAAAGCAGCTAAAGCAGCTAAAGCAGCTAAAGCGGGCAAGCAGACTGCGCATACAGACAGACGCACACACAGACAGACACACACAACTTTTAGGGATTCATCTGTCTCGAGGAACTCATTCGGCTGAAGAAGTAGTGGCAGAAGAAGGCCTGGACCTCCACAGTGCCACCGCAGGTGTCCGTCTTGGCCAGGCGCCAGATGCCCTGAGGCTGGAAGTCGAAGCCATCTTCGTATCCTGGACGCCAGCTCTTCTCCACGTGCGGGTCACCGGTAACAATGCAGTCGTCGAAGCAAGGGTGCGAAAAGTCATCTTCCGGGTAGTCTTGGCATGGGCTGCAGTCGCACCTCGGGGAAAGGCCCAAGACATCTCAAGACTGCTTTTCTCACAGTGCTGCGCCCCCACACCGCCCCCACCCCCCCCCTCCCGACGAAATTCTAGCTTGGTGCTTTGATCGCTTTCTCTCTTTGCTCTCTGCATCCTGGCCGCTGGCCCTGGGCTGCGATGGCCCAAGTGCCCAGGAGGACGAGGCCAAGCGCCTGGGCCGCCATGGGGCGGCAGTGCACCGCAGAGAGGGGGACCCCGCTGCGCGTGAGCCAGCTCTGTCGGACGGCTTTCCAATGACACAAATTACGAACATGTTTCTGGGGCTCAACCGGATGTCTGCATCGGAATCTGTGCATCGGATGTTCGTAAACCTGTCTTTGCACAGAGTGCGTCGCACGGCAAGGCGATAACAATCTCCCCTCTTATCCATGCTATTGGTGAAACGTCCTCGATGCCTCGTGGTTTGCGGGCCACGAGGCACCAAAGAAAGCCATGCCCGAGACAGCCTAGCAAAGGCTGAATTCCCTGACCCGTCAGCGAAGGACCGCGCCAGTTGTCCACGTTGGTGCACTGGTCGCAGTCGCATTGCCTGGCGCGTGTCAAGGTAGGGAAATGGGCAGGTGTGGGGGGGGGGGGGGGGGATCCAGGAGGATCTGGGAAAACGACCCTCTGCCACGAATCCGCTTGAGCCCGAGCGGCTGTCCCAGAGCCGCGAAGGCCCAGGCGCCCGGAAGGGCCAAGCCCAAGGCGGCCGCATGTCTACCACCAAGCCCTGTGTCTAAGCCAGCTGCCGCATCAAAGCAAGGAAGACAAGACGTTTTTCCCGCCCGGCCCCAGCGAAATACTGCATTGCTTCTATGCCAATCATGATTACCTCTCTTCTCAGACTGCAAAGGCCTATACAGCAGTGCCAGCTGCAGGTATGCCATCTATATGAACATCTCACAAACATCAAACACACTACCCCCCTACTCCTACGTCCCGGGCTTCTTCTGGGTCTGCCCCAACCCCTGAGACCTGATTTCGATCGCACAGGGCCGAACCGGCCCGACTCTGAAGAAGCGGAGAGCTCGCCTGTAGGACTTCAGTGCTTGCTGAAATCGCCAAGCTGCTTTGGACGGCAGCCCTCGCGAACTCGGTCTTTACAGGAGGGCCCAACTAGTTTGGGGTCGAAGCAAAAACTTTCGACGGCCTGAGTTCTTGAGGCCAGGATCTGCCTGACCCTGAAACCTACGCACAATCCCGCGCTCGAGCTCGCGTGCACGTCCAATCACATAAAGATCCCCCACCTGACCTCACGAGCAGCCCCTGCACCGAAAGAGGCTTTAGGTTGTACCGGCTTTAGGCTGGCTAGGGATGGGATTCTCTACTGCAAGTGTCATGGCGGGGCAGGTCAAGGGGCCACCTGCTCCTGAGAACCTAACCTGTACAATGGGAGTAAGTGGCCTTGTGCATCGAATTTGCAGACATCTTCTTGGGGCACGGTTCAAAACAATCCGCCCGAGAGGCAGCAGCTCGCAGCCATCCTATGTCCAGGCATGAGCAAGTCAACGCCTCCGTGCGTTCTAGAGGGGGGGGGGGGGAGTTTGGTCCCAAGGGCTTGGGTCAAAGAGAACCCTGCTGTGCGTCCACATTGTCTGGGGAATCACCCCCCACATCAGAAAGGAATTCCACAGCTACCTAGAAGCCTTTCGGGGTGGTTCTCGGTTGGGGCTCGGGGAGGTGGGTTTAGGGTTAGGGTTTAGGGTGTTGGGCTTTGGGTTTAGGGTTTAGGATTCTGATCTTGTCCGCTACATTGTATCCTGGTGATGCAGCTGCAATCGAAAGAAAGATGTTCTGCTGTGGGTCCAACGGTCAGAGCAAGGCTCCATGCACAGTCCACTGATCTCTTGGTGCTCTGTCAGGGATTCAGGAGCAGCGATTGTCGGGCTAATCGGGGGTCACCAAGATTGGCCACTTGAACAGAGCACCAATGAGACAAAGTCTCTGCCAAATGCGCGAACATGAGCCACGCGATGAACAGCAGCCCCCCTCGCAACGCAAACCACATCTATGCGCAGCTTCCAAAAAAACTAGGACTAATAACCTCCCCCCCCGCCAGGGGAATAGTTGCCCACCAGCGAGGTTTCGTCGCTAAGCTCTCCGAGCACAATCAACACTCTCACCGAGCCGTCGCCTTCGGCCCATCTGAGTTCAAGGGCCAAGGGCAACCGCCCGGAGGAGTGGCTCACGCAATCTGGACCAGGAAAGTGCATGTGCTAGACAAGGCAGCAAGGGAACCCTTCTAAGAGCTGCCGTCGAGCCCCAAAAAAAAACGAAGCTTAGTCAGAGCCACTGAAGTCACTTTTCCTGGAGGCGAGGGAATGGGACGAAGGTGCGGATACTCTGTACATCCACGGCCAACGGTGCCTGGCCAGGGAAGAGCTGCATCACCGTGATCTCCGCCCCCGCCCTATGCAATCGCGGGTATCGGGGAATAGAAATCTGGCTGAATGCAGGCCATGGAAGTGCTTGTCAGAGAAAGGCCTGAAGACCTAAACCCTTTAGGCAGAACCGGCCAGTGGCCGCCTTTATCAGGTCGACAGCCCCTCCGGCGATGGGGTGCGCGATCGAGCGCCGGGTTGCTCCTGCGAGCAAGAATGGGATCTTCTTGAGTAGTTCCAAACATAATCTAATTCCTCCTCCCAAAAAATTGGAAAACTCATCTTGTCGGCGAAATCTGAGCCCCAAACCCCCAAACTCAAATCCCTAACCCCCAATCCCGAACCCCTCTACCCCGACCCCACACCCTGAATCCCTACAAACCCTGAAAAGCCCCCGTAGGCCTCATCGATTGCCTCCGACTCCAGCGCAAGCCGCAGGGACTTGCGATGGCGACGCATGCGCTCCTTTAGGTTGCTTGGTGTTTAGGGTGTAGGGTGTAGGGTGTGGGTTTAGGGTTTAGGGTTTAGGGTTTAGGGTTTAGGGTTTAGGGTTTAGGGTTTAGGGTTTAGGGTTTAGGGTTTAGGGTTTAGGGTTTAGGTTAGGGTTTAGGGTTTAGGGTTTAGGGTTTAGGGTTTAGGGTTTAGGGTTTAGGGTTTAGGGTTTAGGGTTTAGGGTTTAGGGTTTAGGGTTTAGGGTTTAGGGTTTAGGGTTTAGGGTTTAGGGTTTAGGTGTTTAGGGGTTTAGGGGTTTAGGGTTTAGGGTTTAGGGTTTAGGGTTTAGGGTTTAGGGTTTAGGGTTTAGGGTTTAGGGTTTAGGGTTTAGGATTAGGGTTTAGGGTTTAGGGTTTAGGGTTTATTTAGGGTTTAATTAGGGTTTAGGGTTTAGGGTTTAGGGTCTAGGGTGTAGGGTTTAGGGTTTAGGGTTTAGGGTCTAGGGTTTAGGGTTTAGGGTTTAGGGTTTAGGGTTTAGGGTTTAGGGTTTAGGGCTTAGCGTTTAAAATTTAGGGTTTAGGGTTTAGGGTTTAAGTGGTTTGAGGGGTTTGGGGGGCTTCGGGTTGAGGGTTAAGGCTTCATTAACTTATTGCTCCCTACAGAATGCATGGGGAGCCGAACTTGGACAAGGGTACCAACAAACTCCCGGGATAGCGGGCGGTTGGGCCGAGTTCCTGCTCAGGAGGAGCTTCTTTTTCTATGTACAACGACATGCAGGCTCCTAAAACTGCAACCCAGGATACCCCAAACCCGAAACCCCAGACCCCAAACCCATGGGGCTGACAAGCCATGGACACCCAGCGCAACTGGAGGAGGAGAGGAAGATCTGGGAACCCCCAACACGTCAAACCTTGCCTGGATCCTCCCCAAACCTCAGAACCCTGAGCCGAGAGTATTGCCAAGAACTGGGGTCGCCCTGTTCTCCATACAATTAGACCCTTTGGGGGGGTTACGAGTATAGACCCCAAAAACAAACCAAGCAGGAGGATTCCCTTATAATACAGACCCCAATAAGGTTACCCTAATTTGGGAAACCACCATACCAAGGAACCCGGGCCCCCGAAATGGCGCAATTTCTGGACACCGAGATGTGGGGTTCAGGGTTGAGCAACCCAAGACTCCCAAAAGTGCAAACCCAAACCCAAACCCCCCCCCCCCCCCCCCCCCCAAAAAAAAAAAAATGCAAAAAAAACAACGGCTGCGTTGCCTTCTTGCTGGGCCGCCGGAGGGGCGCCCGGTGGCTGGGCGCATGGCAAAAATCGCAGTCCTGACATGGCAAACCAAGCAGACGGCCGTTGAGGTCACCGGGCCCTGAACATCAAACCCAGGGTTTCGGGGTTAGGGTTTAGGGTTTAGGCTTTAGGCTTTAGGGTTTAAAGGTTCGAGGCTATCAAACGCCGTAAAACCCGGAAGAAAAGATCAAACCCCACAACAACTCCAGCCATGCTCGATGCACCTTTGGCTCTCCGACTTCCATCGGAGGACAATGTTGCTTCTGAAGACGTCCAAACAAAAAGCAACAACAAAAACCGCGGGGCACGTCGCGCCCCCCTGATCTGGCTGAGAGACCTACGTGCGACCCCGCATCAAACCGCCAGGGCCTGAACTGTACTCCCCTGCTGAGGTCCATAATCCAAGTAGCATGCTTAATCAGTTCCCTTGTGCTGTATATACAAAGTTTTTACAAACAAAGACTTGCAGGGTTTAGAGTTTAGGGTTTGAAACAAGAAGTCCAAGGCGCCTCCCCAGCACGGCAGACACCTCGCGGGGCGAAGCTGCAGGGCTTGCAGATCTCCGCCTGAGGACGGTTCAGGGTTTAGGGTTTAGGGGCTAGGGGCTAGGGTTCAGGGTTCAGGGTTCAGGGTTCAGGGTTCAGGGTTCAGGGTTCAGGGTTTAGGGTTTAGGGTGTAGGGTTTAGGGTTTAGGGTTTAGGGTTTAGGTTTAGGGTGTGGCATTGGTCGCTTGAACGAATTAGCGTGGAAGACATGCCCACCCCAAGGCCACCCAATCACAACTCGCAGCTCAGACTAAGCCGCAGCCAGCCCAAACCCAAGCCAAAGGCAACTCCAACATTTGGGGACGCCTGAGTCCCTTGATTCATCTGGGGACCTGTGGGTCAGGAACCACTTGGTGTGAACCCTCTGACCCTAAACCCTAAACCCTAAAACCCTAAAACGAAGCCCAAGGATGCTTGAATGCTTGCGCTGGGGACTCGGAATCGAAGGAGGCCCTTTCAGTGATTCTTCAGCCTTCCGCCCCCAGGATGCTCCAGGGTGCTTCAGGGTTTTAAGGGCGCACAGGAGCTTAAG